GGGAAAAAAGTATAAAAAACCCAAAGAAATGCTCTATCCAGTTTGCTATATTTTAAAGGAAGACAGATCCCCCTCTTTCCATGTCCCTCTATATACTGCAACACTACATGGAATTTTGCGTCACAACTCTTGAGTGCTGGATCCCAAAACCTGAATGATTCCAGCTCTGCCATGATATAACTTCCTTTTCTTAATGTCGCTGTCTGTAGTAAAGACATACTTCTCTTTGGATCCTGTATTCACCTTCAAATAAATTTTATGAAATAAACTAATAAAAATAAATCAAGAGGAGGTATTTTGGGATTATGTTGAGATGAAAATATGAAATAAAAAAATGCTTTGCTCTTCATCTTCCACGATGAGCTCTCCCCTCCCTGTCCCTCACAGATTCCCTCAAGGAATCTGAAAAACACATAGCCAAGTTTTCTATTTTATTAGCTAATTGGACTATTTACTGTCCTGGTTTAAACCAGGATACAGTTAATTTTCTTCCTAGGAGCTGGCAGAGTGCTGTGTTCTTTGAATTTAGTATGACAATGATGTGGATAACACACTGATGATGTAGCTGTTGCTGAGCAGTGCTTACTCTGTAAGTCAAGGATTTTTCAGTCCAATTAGAAGGTGCACAAGCTGGGAGGGAGCACGGCCAGGCCAGTTGGCCTGAAGGGGCCAAAGGGATATTCCATACTATAGAGCATCATGCCCAGTATATAAACTGGGAAAAGTTGGCTGGAGCTGCTGATCACTGCTGGGGGATGGGCTTGGCATCGGCCAGTGGGTGGTGAGCAACTGCACTGTGCATCACTTGTCTCTCTTGGGTTTTATTCCTCTCTTTTTTCACCTTCCTTTTAATAATAACTTCCAATTATTAAACTGTTCCTATCTCAACTCCTGGGGTTTATCTTCTACGTTTTTTCAAATTCTTCTCTCCATCACACTGGGTAGGGGAAGTGTGTGAGCAGCTGTGTGATACTTAGTTGCTGGCTGGGATTAAACCACAACAGTCCTTTTTGGCACCCAACACGGGGCTTGATGCTTTGAGATAACAACAAATCTGACTAGAACATGTTAGAACAAATTTATTACAAGCATTCATTGTATTAGTTTAATAGCCACCGGTCACAATGATCTATTTGCTCCCAGAGTTGATGTGTTTGTTCTTCAAGTTGCATTAGGCAACAAGTTCTTCAAGTCACATTATACCTCATTCACAGTATGTTGCTCCCTGTTCCGATGTTTATCACCTGTGGAAACTGGGCTGAGGTTATCAAGTGGTTGTACTTTGTAACACTGACTTATGATATGATATAATTGCTGGTTGTGAAACTAATCTAGTATTTGCACTCAGCATTGCTGTTGTCACTGTACTTGGGGAGTCATCCATCAGCAACTATTAATAATTATATCTTTTCTCCTCAGGGACCCAGGCCAAGGGGGACACACCTCCCTTCAACTTCCCCTTCTCCTCCAGGCTAATTACAATAGCTCTTCAGCATTTTTAATACCCATGGGATATTCAAACTGCCATGCTCCTATTGCTATGTCTTCTGAGTATGTTTCAGGTCTTGTTTAAGGACAAACAACTATTTAAGAACAACTAGAGACCTGCCCTGAGGCTGGATAGTTAAGAGTGGCAGTGTAGGACTTGTCCACGATGTACATGCTATAGAATGAGGGGTGGATACTGTGCAAGTGTAAGTCCCACATTCATTTTCTTCCTAGTGGCTGGTGCAGTGCTGAGTTTTGGACTTACTATGATTCTAACGTTGATCATGCTGATGATTTAGCTGTTGCTCAGTAATGCTTTCTGTAAGCCCAAGACTTTCCAGCGTCTCATGCTCTGTCTGTGAGGAGGTGCACAAGGAGCTGGGAGAGAGTAGTGTCAGGACTGCTGACCTGAACTGGCCAAAGGGACATTCTGCACCATTGAGCATCATACCAGTACAGGAACTGGGGGTGCTGCTGCTGGGGGATGGGCTGGGCAGCAGTCAGTGTGTGGGGAGCAATTGTATTGTGCACCACTTGTCTTCTTGGGTTTTATTCCTCTCTTTTTTGTTATCTCCCTTTTTGCTACACTTGTTATTAGTAGTATTACATTTTACTTTATTTCAATTATTAAACTGCTCTTATCTGAACACATGGGTTTTATCATTTTGCCATGATTCTCCTCCCCATCCCACCAGGGTCTGGGGATGTGAGGATGTGAGTGAGCAGCAGTGTAATACTTAGTTGCTGACTGGGGTCAAACCACAACATTGTTGAATATGTAAGCAATCATGTAGAAAAAATTAACTGCATCCTTTTCAGCTGTATTGCAGGACTCCCGGTAAGAACGACTCAGACACAGAAACAGCTTACACCACCACAGCAAAACAATATACACCAACTTAGCTGAGCAGTTATCAGTGCTCAGTTGTCAGCAAATGTAAGATAACTCTACTTAGCTCTCTTTCTTAAGATTGTCCTTAGAGAATAACTAATGGTGACAAAGGCCTCAAATGCTCATACAAGAGGAACAAAAAAAAAATTCAGAAAAGCTGTTCTTGCCTTCAGCAGATTTGCTACAATTTTTCTCCCTACAGAAAAGTTTTAGGTTACCTTTAAAGTGCACGTGGACAATAACTACTATTTGAACTGTAAAACCAATGGTGATCTATGATAAAATTGGAACAATTGCATAAAAGCAGTGGAACATTGAATCCAAACAGACACCTAGAAAGGTGTTATCAAACACAAAACAAAAGAACCCACTGTGGTAATGTTAACATAACTGAAAATCTGCTTATGGAGTTTTTTTTGGTTTAGGTCAAATGCTGAGCTAGAGCAACTGGACTCTGTAACTCAACTTCCAATCTAGAAAATCAGTTAATTCTTACCTTACTTACTCCGTAATCTCTTGCTAGACTATAGTTGTTAATACAGGGCTAACATTTTGAATCACGGACTTGAATCACTTACACCACATTTTACATAACCTTCACTATTACTGCAGGACAACAGCGTAGGGCACATTGCATTTTGCTAATGGCATATTGGTGCACTCATCAGATTCGTTATGCAGAGCAAGGACTTTGATTTTCTGTATTCAAAACAGTAAATGAGACACTGCTTTCTTTCCTTGTTAAATCAGGTTACTATTTAACATCAACAGCATTTTACCAAGTCTGGAACATGGTGCTAATTACTAAGTTTATATTTAATTTGATCAACACCACAGTGGTAGGCTGAACTTTTCATAAAGATAATGGTTTCATATTAAACTTGGAAGAGACAAGCCATTTGTATAAAGCAAAAAAAAGTGACAATAAAAATAAGTACTTGAACTTCCTTAGACAACAAGAAAGGTGGGTTTTTTAATGTTTTTCCACTATGTACAGTTTATAAATAAAATTACAGTAACTAAATAGTATCACCTTTGTATAGCTGTAAAAATTGTTTTCCACTAATGCAGAATACCACTTAAAGAAAAATGTAACATCTGGGCTTGTTTGTGTGAGAAAGCTCTTACTGAGTGAGTATTAGGATGCCTTGGCATGAGAGGCTTGCAATAGTGACAAGTCAGTTAAAGGCCTTGGAAAAAGAAGGGCATAAACATGGTTTTGTCTGTAGTCTCCAAAGTATAAATTAAGTATCTGATGGCATTCAGAAGAGCAATACATATAAATCCAACCATTTTATGGTTTCAGCAAAACCAGTTTCTTCAAGTTTATCTTGAAAACTTCAATCTAGGCAGGGGTACATGTGTAACAGAAAAGAAGTACCAGAGTAATGTATCATCTTACACTGTAATTTCTCACCTAGGACTACCTAGTTACCTCAACTGTAAGTTCTTGGACTGAAACTATTGGTATGAACTAAATAGGCTCCTCCATGACACTCAGCACAATAGTTGCACAGCCTTTCATCATTTTACAGTTTTTGTAATATAGTCAAGAGCAGAAATTACTACTTCTATTTTTATAGACAGGGTATATGGAAGGAAAAGGTTCAACTCTTTGATAAGGTAAAACCTCTGTGAATCAGAGGAAATTCACTTATTTTAATGCTTATTCCCAGTAGTATATACAAAACGTAGACTCCACAGAAAGCCAGATGTGTCCAAGTTGACAAGATTCATGCTCCACTCTCTGAACACCCAACTGCCTACTCTTTAAAGAGGCACCATTAACTGTAAAAAAAAAATAAATTCTGAAATACTCTATGCAAATGCAGAAAAAAATAACTCAAACCTACAATTCTAGGAACTTGAAAAGAGAAGTTCAGTTTTGATGTAAGATGTTTCAAATGTTGCAGCAACTAAAAGGCAAGGCTGACAAGTTCAACTGTTGCAAAACACTGTGTGAATAACATTAGTCTCAGAGAAAATTCATCAAAATACTTTGCAGTTTTAGAACTCAAAGTCACCAAAAAATGTCAGAGTCAGCAGGATTTTTCCAATTACTTCAAATTAAACAGAGCACAGGCTGTAAGCAGTGTCTTACCTGAACATTGCTTTTGGGATAATAGAAGAAAAATGGCTTCAAAACTGGTGACCTAGACACAAAACAACAAGCATAAATGCACTTAACTAGAAATTAATCAAAATGTTAGATCATACATCGTTAGACTATTCATACACCAAACACTTGGAAAATTAAAAGCCATTCAACCATAACTAGCAATGGCTTTCCAAACCACTTTGGAAAGCCTGAGGAGTGTAAAAACTCCTTAAGTTCCATTATTAAGAAAGTAAGAGTTTGTTTAAAAAGCCCAAGATAATTTTACTGGGAGAAGGTAGCCAAAATATCACAAATGTGTTCTTGACAAAGGATGTCCTTCGTGATTTGAAGTCTACTGCTCTATCAGTAGCCCCTCATTGATACCTAGGCTAGTTTCACAGGGCCACTGAAAATACAGCCACAGTTTCTTCCCCCATCTTCATGTGCAGTATTTGCTTATGACACAACAGTTTTAGATGCTCTCATGAGTAAGCATGAAAAGGTGTGAATATAAATCATCAGCAGATTTTAGCCATATCTAGAAAAATACTGAGTCAAACCACAATTTTTTTGTATTTAAATATGCCCAATATTATTCTGTTCAGCTCACTCACATAATGGTTTCATGCTAACACTCTGTGGGATGTTCTGGAACATTTGACCTCACATTTCTAGGGGAAGTGAGCTGGTACAGACATAAGTTTGGTGTGCCCATGTTCCAAAACAACAGTTACAAAAGCAAACTGGTTCAGAGATCTGCATGTATTAGCACATGGTGGAGCTACTGCATTGCCATAAAGTCACATTCGAAGTTCTCCCTACATCTTATTAAGCAGACATTCTTATGTACTGATCAGAGACTTATGTAGCTCATATTCAGTAATTCAATAAAGAATTTTACTATTTGCATACATATCTTGTAGCGCTCACTATTATCTTTTTATCAGTTATTAAGCATAGTGTGAAACATAAAGCTTTAGTTCCTTCTGTGGCTGCTGTTTCAAGGTGGGGAAGCTTGTGGTGAGTGGCATAACACTATCATTACACATTACAAAGTTAATGATCAGGAGTTAACTTACACTCTGGGGCGCCCTCCAACAATTCCAGTGAGGCCAGGTGCTGGAAATGGAAATTAAATTTACAAAAGAATGATTAAAGCCACCTTCAAAATATTAGAGCTCATAGCTTATTGTAGCTTGAATTGTTCCTTCAATACACATTTAATAAATATAGGAAAATATCTGGCAAATTACATATGCTCTCATAACTTAATAAAACTGAATATTTTATACAACAGTTAAAAAGGCAAAACATGTAACTATGACTTTAAGCAAATAAAAATTAAATGTGCAAAGCACTAATAAACTAAATCTTTAGATTCTTCTTCCAAATATTTTGTGCACCAAAGCCAACGAGGCAATACATTTGATAGAATTAACTTAGCTTTAGCCTTTTCGTTGCTGCTGTTTAATTTTAAAGAGAGAAGAGAAACAACTCTGATCTTGGATGCGGTTTGTTTTAATATTTGTTGAACATGACTTTGCTTGTTTAGATTAATTGTTTCAGATTAACTTGCATCTTTCCCTGAAGCATTTTTACTAGCTAACTTGCTTTTTAAGGTGCTGGGTACTGCAGATCCCACTCTCTCTTTTTGACACATAGGCAATTTAAGGGCCTAAGTCACTAGCACGATCCCAGATCTGCAGTATGCCAGCACTGTGAATAGACTCTTACTTATTCTCAGTATCAGGTTGCTTGGCTTTACTACCATTAAACCCATCTGCCCAGCTTAGTACTTCTGAAGGAAACAGTTCTGCTCTCCTCATCCTGAGCATAGCTTCTCACACCTTCTTTCTGGCATGGGCATGATACATCAGAGCTCTGTATGGTATTGCAGGGGAAACAAACAGCAAAGTGCATACACTAAAAAGTCTAGGAATTAATTAACAAGTGTGTTAAGCAGTCTCTTATGAGTGCTATGCCCAAATTTATTCTGGCTAAAATGGGCTTCATGTTTTCTCCAGGTGAGATCTCCCTCTATGCTCCAAACAGACTAAAAGCCATGTAACTGTGCTGTTGTGGTACTAAGTTCACAGTGATAAAACCTCTACTTCTCAGCAGGCTGTTCTGGCTTGGATTCAGTGCCTTGATAATGTGCACACATACCAGTGGCTGCACAGACTACAGTCTTGCTACACTGGCACTCACTGGAAGTGACTTCCCTATAACAGTGGTTAACGACGTGTTTTAATGAAGTTTTAGAAGAGGGATGCTGTTATGTAGCCCTTATCTTAATCACACTGCTCTATAATCAGAGACGTATTTGGAATCAACCAAACTAAACTTCAGTGCACATCTGAATGATTGACACAGAGATGGCAATCACATAACAAAGTTATCAAAGAGGTCTTCTGCCTAAGGCTAGTTCATAACCACCCTGCCAGCTTGGCCAGTGTGCCACTATAGTACTTGTACATTGTAACTGATTCACAAGATGAACAGATTTTGCTGAGTAGATTTTTAGCCAGAAGCTGAAGAAACAAACCAACCAACCTCAAAACACAGCAACCTCTTGGAGGTGCTACAGGTAAGAACAACTACTAGGGGTCTGAGTATTAACCCTCCCTCTTTCCCAAAAAAGACCCTACAATATAACACAGAAAAAAAAAGCCTTAAAAATATGCAAGCACCACCTCCCTACCCACTAAGTTCTGCTGAAAAAACATGGCAGTGGCTAGAATATGGAAGAATCCCTTATAGTAGTGTTACCCAACTTTAAATGGCTGAGTGAGGTTTCGGCCCTATGCATCTTACCCGTGCACTTCCTCAAGCAAAAACTGCCATTCAATAATAAAACCAACTGCAATTGAATTCCACACCCAGTTTATTTATTTAGGTTGTTGGGGGATAAGGGTGGATATGGTAAGGTCATGCTGCAAATATAAGTTCATAAAGCTAGTTAAATTATCTGTGGATCGTCACATGGGTCACTTCCTGCTAGGCAGCTGAACTGCTCATTAAGGATACCAGATTTGCTCTGACATCCATTTCAACTTCCTGAAAGCTCTCAAAGAAAGCTCTTTACTTGCCTGCTGTCATACAATGGATCTTGGCTCCTACAACAAAGCAGCTCTCTAAACACTGACAAGAGAACAATTCACCTAAGAGCAACCACTGCTCCGCTCACACCTCGCGGCTACGATAACCTTCTACTGCTGCCTGGTCTTGCTGCTCCTCCAGCACAAACTGCTGTAACAGCAAATCTGTCTCTGGACAGCTACAGCCACACATAAATGCAATTGCAGAGCAAAGTTACACCAATATCCCAGATGCAAATTATTAAGTTCTATCTTATGATTATCCAATCCATTGTTTATGTGAACATAAATAAGATTTGAGCACTTATAAGTCAAATTCAATTTTATCTAGATGCAATTCCTATTCAGGCTTCAGGCAGAGAAGATGAAGCAAATCTTAAATTGATTGTGGCTTATGATCAGTGACTTGTTATTTGTGCAAACAGCACTAGAACACTACACCTCAGCCCAGGGCTCAGATTCCTATTGCATTTCCCATAAACCCAAAGAAGGCAATAGAAGGCCAACTACAACCAGGTAACAGTGAGCTTGTCACTGTAGCCAGACCTACTTCTGCTAAGTAAACTGTGACCTCCTTGGATCAACCATTGCCCTGAGACAACTTTTTTAAGAAGATCTCCTCATGCTGTACTTTATGCTTACTTTGCATCGCTTGCTTAAGTATCTGTGCAGATGCTCTCCCTCCCTCACTTCTGGAAGACTTTTATCTACAATGACACAATTTATCATACCTGTAGAGAATATCAATCAGGCCGCAGTGTCATGTCACTAAGATGATCAGCTAAATTGAAGCTCTTATCTCCTTTCCCAGAAACTTTACATGACCACTTTTTATTATCAGAGCTCTATTCATTAGTTCCTCAAGGCAGATAAAAGTATCATCCCATTTGCTACCAGTAAACCTCTTGAACAAGTTGCTTCACTTCAAGTTGAAGAACAACTCACCACCACCATCTGTACCTCACAATGGCATAAAACTGACACACTGCAAAATGGGCTGAATACCTTTATGTTGGGGACCTTCCCATGAATACATTTATATCCTGTTCGTGTACATGGGTAGATACAGTATTTGTCTGGTGTAATCATCAAACTGAGTATCATGACACTTATTTTGATTCAAGCATTTGATCCAAAACCCCACCATTTCCGAGAACGTTTTTCCTCACGGTGTCTGGGGAATTAACCTGATAACTACAAATTCTCCAGTTGCCTGAGTATTTAAAACCAATGAGGTGGTACTGGGGACTACTCCATTGGAATTTCACTGCTTTCATTAACTTTCAAGTATATGGCATGGGTGGAAAAACATCAGGCATTAGTGATTCAGCAGCAATGTAGTGACAGATATGAATGTAAATAATACAGGGTGAAGCCCATTTGAGATACACTCCTGGTTTCAACAGTTCCACCGTTTCTGATTTTGCATGTGTGTTTCATTTCTCCAGCAGCCTCTTGTTCTTTCTATTTTCTCACCCTATGAAATACATCTGTGGATGGACTTGCAAATACAAATACTTTTTAAAATCATATATGATATGCAGGAAAAAGCAGCAAGTTTCTGATAAATTTCATGAACAGTGGTATTAGGCAAACAAAAGAGTACTGGAAAAATGAATGTTGCTCTCAGTTCAGGCATTTCAGGGAATGGATCCACTGAAAACCAGCACTGACAAAATAATGCTTAAAATCAGCCCAAACAAGCACCTATTTCAGTATGTAGAACCACCACATTCTAATAGATTATAATCTATGCCACAGATATCACACCCTGTAAAATGCCCTGCCGCAGGAAAAGCTCCAGTTGAAACCTGCAATCAACCTATGAGATGCAAATTCTCAGCTAAACAAGCTTTGTTCCTTCCAGCTCTCCTAATTCCCCACTAAATTTTCTAATGGTGGAAGAGCCTTATGTTTTACATCCTTAATAGTGCCTCTGCCCTATTCAAATCCTGTT